GTAGTTTAAATGTTTCATTAGATGCTAATGTCTTACTGTGTTTTTAATTGTTGAGGAATTAGTTGCTGGAATATGAAAACCATCTGTTTGTTATCTTCCTGGAGGGGGAATCTTTACACAGGCTCTGCTCTCAGGGTTGTTAAAGGAGTTTATCCTTATGGTGCAACCTGGTGGAGCTGTCAGTCTTCATTAACGTCATTATGATTGCACAAGAAAGACTGTGAAAACCCACAGACGCCCGTCTGCACACATACACACTCATAAACAACGCTTTTATGTACACGCTCGCATGCATGTACATATGGGAGATGCTTGCTTTCCAAAGAAAGATCATTTTTACAAGAAACTGCATTAAGTTTGTTATGACAGTTAATCTAGAAAGCAGCAGTAGGTAACGATCATATGCCAAAACCGAGCGGAGTAGTGCCAGAAAGAGCATGGGAGCAATACAAATGAACACAATAGATAATATACTTCATGCGTCTAGACTTCTGACTAATTTTAGAGTTAGCGAGATACCCTGTTAAACCTTAAAAGTGAAGTAATGGGCGATGTGTGGACATAGAGGTTTATAGACAGAACTGCTTGAGCTTTCTGATTTATTGGCTGTGGGAGGAAACCCGATTTGCACTGAACTTTTTGATGATGGTAATTTATCGTGGCTACCCGCATTGCACTTTTTCTTTAACGCCTCTATTAATCAAATCTCTTCAAAAAATTACTCCGAGAACTCATAAGAAATTACCCGCATGCCTTCAGGAAAAAGGACTTGTTCATTTTTCAAAGGCTATTTAAGTGGAATGGAATGGGGGAAACTAATAACAAATCCCTTCATTGCATTGCAATTCTAGGTGTACCTGCTTAACTGGTTAAAGGTGTACTATCTGAATTTGATAGATCTGTTAATATTTGATTTTAAACTCAACTCAGAGTAAATAAATATATAACATCTTTTTACATAGACATTTGCATTATATACATAGCACAAATGCTTCATGGTAGTCATTTATTTAGTGTCGTTTTTCTTCAGAACCTCTAATTCTGAGTATGAAACTTGATGTAACATATCCTGCATCATGCAAAATCATTGAAAAACCTTTTTACTTCTCACAATTGTTTTTAAGTCTTCACCTAAATGTTGAACAGGCTAACATATAATGCCGTATAATGAATGACTTTACTATAAATGCCCAGGATATTTACAGCCAGTATCTTAACAGGTTCTTGTCACCTGAATTGGCCAATACTGATATAAAACCTGTTTAGTTAATGTTTATCTGGAGCTCTTAACCAGTGTAAGCTCTGCCCAGAGTCACTTATTGAAAAGTAATACCAGCTGTTGCCACGTTTGTGTTGACAAAAAATACTCACTGTAAAATAAATGTTTTTAACAAGTCTAATGAAAACAACCAGGCTTACACAAAATGTTATAATATTAGCTTATAGCTTAATGAGAAATTAAAGATTAAGAGATATTAAATACAGAAATTTTGCAATTAACAGTAGTTTTTAAAGGGGTCCTATTATGCTCTTTTAAAAAGTCTTGATTTTGTTTTGGGGGTGTACTAGAACATGCTCTCATGCTTGGTGGTTCGAAAAACACATTATTTTTCTCATAATTTACATTATTAAAATACCTTTCTCCCCAGCCTGGCACAAACGGCTCGATTAGTTCCGGCTTTGATGAAGGTCCACCTTCCGAAAAACAAAATGTGTTGTGATTGGTTAGCTGTCCCAGTGCGTTGTGATTGGCGAACAGCTTAGACGGTGTTTCAGTACTGCAACTCTGCAGCAGCACTTCTTCTTCATCGTCTCGTCTGATGCACTCACTCAACCAAGCGTTCTAACCACAACCTCGCCCCTCCCCACCCCACAACCATTCGGATTTCTGTAGGCGGGAATTATTTTTAATGATATTCTAATGGGCCGCTTTGTGATATCACAAAGCCCGGAAAACAACGTTGTAGTCCAAACGAGCCGTTCGTTGTAGTTCTTGAAAAGGGATTTTTTTAAAAACAAAATATCTCCCTTTGGAGTGGACTTTGAGATTTGTAACTTTCTAGATCTTTTTTATGCCCAAACATACACACTACACACTGACTAAAATTAAAAAAGTGAAAAAGCATAATAGGACCCCTTTGAAATACATTTATATTTATCCATGTTTATTTGATTAGATTATTATTCATTCTGCTTTTATTATTTTATTTAATAATGTATTATTCAATTAGTTTATTTAATTGTATGTTGCCCTTTCTTTTTTTCTTCTTTTTTGTAGGAATGCTTTTAATATTATTTTCTCTTTTATATGTTTCTCTTGAACTTAAATGAGTAGAATGCCAATTGAAGTTGAGGGAAAAAGTGTGAAAACCATGAAAACCTGTGGTGCTGTTAATGCCATTACATCGAGTTATATGAAATATAAATTATGAACCACATTTTTACATGAGCTCTATCTCACAGAGTCCACCAAGTGATTCAAAGGAGGTTTCAGAGGATTATCAGCCAAATTTAATAAGTGCTGATCGACTGGTTTATACCAGCACTTTCCCGCTGTCTGCTTTTCTCATTTGGTGATGTGTCTCTCATCTGATATGCTTTATGAAGTCTAAATGAAGACAGAACAGTATTTGACCTTGACTGGGTGATGCACTTCCCTTGAGGTGGAAGTTTAGATGAAGTTAATGAGACAGCTTATTGAAAATGAGATGTAGATGCATATAAGAAAAGCAGTCATTTAGCGCACTGAGACACACACGCATAAAAATGCACCTAGATGACTTGTCTAACTTCTGCCTTTACAGTTGCTTGTCCTCCTTTTTGTCATTGCCAACTCTTGCTCTCTCTCTCTGAGCAGTGCGGGCCTCTTATCACGGTGGCCTGCTGGTAGAAGCAAGCGTCTCTGCCTGGAGTCAGTGAGCTCTCCCTCTGAGAGAGATCCTTTCACATAGCTAATGGCTACAGAAAAGGAACAGTTTCATTTTAATTATGTGCTTTACTCAAGGGCCCTCTTCCCCGCAGTCCCTTATCCCGCCTGTGCGCCTTTAACAACCCACAGCCTGCACCAGTGAAAAGAGATATTCTCCGACCCTCATCTTATTCCCTCCTCCCGTCCCGCCGCTTTTGTCAGGAGCTATCGCAAAGAATCTGTTTTTGTTCTCCTACGTGATGGGGAACTATGAAAGAGCGAGTGAGACAGGGAAAGAGGGAATGTCTGGGAGGGAAAGATAGGAAAAGAAATGAGCGGGCCGATCTATCTCTCCATCTCAGTAAACAACCCCCCAGTGCGCCGTGGCCTACTCTGCTTTTTCCATTAAGTGACACTGCAGTCATTTACTGCTCATCTCGACTCATAAAACGGGCTTTTTATGTGCTGAGAGATGAAGGCGGCGGGTTTTGGCAGGCCGAGGGGTGCGGAAACGGCCGACTGAATGGCGAACCTTCAGAAGACGTAAATCGTAGACCTTGACGACAGTTGCCGGGTCCCGGGAGTATGGCATTGTTCTCCAGACTTTACTGGGGCTCAGATGTTTTTGGATTTCATGTCCTCCTCCCGTTTTCCCCCTCGTCCTTCTCCTCCTCGCTCTGCTCTTGTTCTTTATGATTTCTAGTCTGCTGAAGGACACCTGCTGTGAATCTCTGGTTCTTGCATGGGGAGAGTGGCTTACCGAATGGAAATCGACTTTTGATGTGGTTCGGTTGGATTTTGTTTCTCTTTCTCAAAAGTTTGATATGAAGTCAGGCCTCAGTGGCTGAAATCATATGGATATCGGTGGCCAATGCCAAACAGGTTGTTGATGCCACAGAAAATGCATTTTTGAGCAATGCATTTCTCAATAAAGTTTTTTTGTTATTTATTTATTGTTTTTATTTTATAGAACAGTGGAGGAAATCACTTTCCCAAGAACAAAGCAGTTCCTTATATGTCAGGAGCTGTGCATTACTCTCTGTGCCAAAGCTCTAGCATATGAAACTTATTTTATTGGCAAAAGGAAATACATAAAATCAACATTACTGTATGTGGTGTCCTATTCTCAGTGCAAAAACATATGTTAGATTTAATTGTTTATCATTTATTAATTTTGAAACTTTGGCCAATGTATTTGTAGTGAAAGTGATGAAATTACCTGAAATGATGGTGACAGAATCTAGAGATGTCTGGATCCGAACCAGCTTCTCCCATATGATCGCTTATCTTAATGGCTATATTCACACAGCAGCAAAATATAGTTGGCAGTTATTCTGCTAATTTACATAGTAAGATCAATAAGATTTTATTTTTTATTTTTTTTAATACTCATTCAATTTATTTAAAAAGTGACAGTAAAGACATTTATAATGTTACGAAAGATTTTTTAACAAGGCTGCAAGTGTGTTCATTGAATTTTACTGATAGTTCAGCTGATGGAACATCTTTCTGAAAATAAGTAGCTTCCATAAAACAGTTTTTAAAGTTGTGAGTCATAAAAATTACGTGATATAGAACCTTTATACAGTGTGTGGTATTGTAAAAACTGTACATCTATCCTTCACAGCTTCATTTTCATCTGAGGTAAATTCAGTATGGTGTCTAACCTGACTAAAGTCTATTGTTGCTGAAAATTGAGATTTGCCATCACTGGAATCAATTAGGCCTTTTAAAATACATTAAAATAAAATTGTAATAATGTTTCACAGTATTACTGTTTTTCTATTTTTTTATCAAATAAATGCAGCTTTGGTGAGCATAACAGATTCCAAACTTTCGAACAGTAGTGTACATCCAATAGCTGCCATTTAACCAAGCTTCCATCGGTTTTGTGGTCTGGGCTCTATCCACATGTAATCTATTTAGTTGCATAGCTTTAGTAGATTATTGTATTCTGACCCTGAGAGCTTCAGTATTGTTTCTTCTCTGGCCTACGCTTTAGTAACAGTATGTTTAACGTCTTTTAGTGCCCTTTCTCTTCTTGCTGCATCTGACTGTGCGTTTTTTTTTTTTTTGTCTTTGTGTTTTCCAGCTGAAGCCGGGCCAGAACAACTGTAAAGACAGCGATAGCGAGAGCGTGAGTGGAGAATCCAAACCCTGCATCCGGAGCAGCTCCAGAGATAGACTGACAGACGTGAGTCCAATCAAATCTGTGCATCATTTGCCAAACTAACAAAAAACTACATTTAGTGCTTTTTTCTGTAATGATTATTTTTTTGGAAATGTGTTTTCCATGCCTGGAAGAGTCATTGAATTTTTATAATAAATATAGATTCAGTTAAGCTCTGCTTTAAAATATTCCATCTGCTCTTGTGTAGAGTAAAATTAACTTGCAAGTCACAATGAGGTCTGATTTGTTAGCAAATTGTTCCTTTGTGTTGTGAGAACCCTGCATTTATAATGGTCACAAATAATATGCAGAATTTATCACAACTGTCATTTAGTATAGAAGTTTGCTTGAATGTTTGAACAACCAGAAAATATATTGTTAACACCTGAGTTAAGGTTGGCTTGGTCCCCTACAATAACGGTCTTGACACATGATCATTATCAGTCAGTTGGTGGCTTTTCTTATCTGCCTCATTCTTAACGAGGTTCAATATTTAAACAGCGTTTTATAGTTTCTCTTATCCACTTCATTGGTCTAAAAACTGACAAGGCTCTGTGCCAACAAGAACAATAGGAGTGTTTTAAGAGCCGAACTCTTCTTGAGCTCAGTGTGTGTGCTTGTGTTGTCGGGGTGTGAGGCAGAGGAGCGCCGAGGCTGTCTGCACCCTCAGGCCTGCAGGCTCTGCTATGTGTTTGTGCTCGGGTGGTGATAAGAACATCCTATTTACTCAGCTGGAAGCTTCAGTGGAGACTTGGGCTGAAGCGCGACTGTGCTTATACACCGTAGAAGTGGAGACGACAGGAAGTAACACGGTGAAAAATGTACCAGTGACCATGGTTGGACATCAATGATGCACCGTAAAAACACAAAGCATGTATTTAAAGCACTGGAATTCCAAATCTACTATGTTAATATTGAAATATTAAAGTGAGATTATTTTATCTGCCATTTGTGTGTTAGCAGTTGCGTTCAATCTGTATATATACATAGATTAGATTAAAGGTTTTTAAAAACTCTGAATATTTACATATCCATTTGTCAAACTTTGCATTATGACAATAATTATCAGCTTATCAAAATTGTACTATCACACACTCTACACACATACAGTCATATATAATCCTCTTGAAGGAGCATTTGACCATGTAAAGGCAGTATATACCGTTTACATTGCACTGAAAGTCTTGTTTATGGATCTTATACACAGGCTCGTGTAGAAGTTCAGTCAGTCTGGCGCAGGCCCTCTTCAAACCTCAAGCCTTGGCTCCCGCAGTGGAGATGTGAGTCTGTGAGTGTGTGCCGGCGCTATCAGATATCGAGCATAATTAGAGCTGTCAGCTGGAGGGCGAGGCGAGTCGTCGGAACAGACACGGCAGAACGAGTTGAGCGCGACCGCTCCTGCGTGTAGCTATAGGATGCTTGGCCAGGCATGAAATTAAATAAGTAATTTGATGTTGACATCAGAAATTGAAATGATACCTGCAGCCCCTCGTCAGGGAAGAGAGAGAAGACTGAAGAGATAAAGCATGAGAGGGGGGCCAGGAGAAGGGAAAGGAGATAGTAAGAGAAGAAATGTAAGTGGAATGGGGGAAACAGAAAAAGTTAGAGATAAAACGCAAGATAGGGTTTGATTATCGGACAGGTAAAAACAACCCACAAAGAGATGCAGAATGTGTTGTGTGTGATGGGTTTTAACTTGAGTCTTAAAGGGATAGTTCACCCAAAAAAGAAAATTCTGTCATCATCTGCTCACCTTATGCTGTCCCAAACCCGCATGTTGTTATTCATCTGTGGAACACAAAAGTAGAATTTGTTTTAATCTGGATGCAGGTTAGATTTTTTTGGGTGAACTATCCTTTAAAATCTAAGATAAAAATTTAATTAAATTTAATAAAAAAATAAAGAACAATTTATTTATTAGTTATAAATAAAATAAGAACAATTTATTATTATTTATTATTATTATTATTATTATTATTACTACAGATAACTGTAGTGCCTCCGTTCAAGCGTCACACGTGAACTGATCGTCTTATCATATTTACTTAAAGCACGAAATAAACATGAATGAACCATCGTAGCATATTTTATTTAAACCATGGAAAGACGTCAATACACACAATTTTTTAAGTTTAAGTTCACAGTAGTTAATCTACTCTCCTGTATGATATGTTTGTCAGGCAAGATGTCAGATTCGCCGTTATGATTGGTCAGATCACCTGTCAGTCAAACTCTTTGTGAACGGTCAATTCTAACTTAAAAATTTGCAATAGAATAAGGTGAACATCTCTGATAGAATTTTATTACATTTTTTAATTTGACATGGAAAAAAGTGAGGCTGTGAGGGATTAAAGTGTAGTTTATTCAACGTCATTCTTTTTTTCCTTTTTTTTTATTCTTTAACTGACAAAACATTGGAAACTAGAAAAAACAGGATGATGACAATTACTTGATAACTTGAATCTTCCTGTTCTTCCCAGCCTCATTTGCATTCCCATCAAATTAATGTGCCAAGTTTTATTGGTAAGTGCATTTCTATGTTACTGAATATTTTGAAACCCTTGAGTATTCTAAACAGGAAGTGGTGAAAGGTGCTGGAGATACTTTTATTTTTTTCTTTCTTGCTTGAGCAGTTTCTCAGGGTCACACTCAAAGTAGAGCATCCCAGTCCTGAGGGGATGGTGGAAGCAGGTTATTCACAGTCACACCATAAAAAAGCCACTTCATACCAGCATAGAGGTACTAGATAACAGATATGGAGAGCAGGGCCTAAATTTTGGCACAGGACTGTGGGTATTGTGCGTAACCTTACTCATTCCCGCAAAGTTATGCAGGAAATTCCCGCAAACATTTATTCACTGTAGCATGAAGTTTGAATGAGTAAATAAATCCACACAGATGAACAGATCAAGTAATTTCAAAAACAGCATCAGTGATTAAGTGCTACTCACTCTTAATATAACATGCAGATGACTTTACATCAACACATCATGTTCGCGATACAAGACTTTCTCTCATAAGCTGTCTACATTACCAGCACACCGCTGGTGCGATGTAGATCGGTGCACGTTATACACTGTACAAGAGTTGATCTACCAGTGCAAAATTTATAAAGTTCAAAATTATGAATGAAACTTATTTGATAACCATTACCTATATCAATAGTCAAATGACTAAAACAGCCTTAAATAATGTAGAGTTGCCAAACGAAGATTTTTTTTAAAAAAGGGGTCATATGATGCAATTTCAAATTTTCCTTTCTCTTTGGAGTGTTAGAGAATCTAGAGTGTCACTGTGTGGGAAGATTTGCATAACACCGCCCAAATGTTCACGCAAAGAAAGAAGGCGTAACTTTTATTCTCGCTGTAGTATTGTTGTTGCCACCGCCGCCATGTCATGGAGACGCTCTGTGTTTCGTTGTGAAATCGAAACTACTTTGTTTGGCCTTCCAAAAGAGGACGATATCCGCTTCGTCATGCCAAGAGCTGATCCGTGCTGGTCGCTGAGGAAATACATCAACTTCGTGCTGTGGATTGCCGGATCGGCTTTCACTGTGGACGAAACGGAGTCCAGCCCAGCCTTCTTCGTCGAATCCGTCGGCCGCACCATTCTCAAGCCCTCCGGCCGTTCCTCACTCAAGCCCGCCGGCCTCCGCTCACTCAAGCCCGCCGTGTGTGACGCTGTGTGTTTCGTTGTGAAAGTGAAACTACTTTGTTTGGCCTTCAAAAAGAGGACACAACTAGATATCAGATATTAAGTTGTATTTACAACACTGTTCCAGAACAGTTTAACCCAAATATTTTGATGTGTCCAGCGCATTTTATAGAGGACTGTTTCCTGATCCTGGTAAACACATTGCATTACACCAAATACACAACATAATGTTCTTTTTAGCAACATCATATGACCCCTTTAAATCAACGACAGCAACACTTGCACTAACAAAAGATGATAACTTTTATTTGACAGATAATCACCTGGTTACACAACATGCATCTTAAGAGTGTAAAATATTAATACAGTGAACCAAACAACACAAAAGTATCAATCTAGCTGTATTTAGAAGTCAAGACCATTATCAGAATGAGTGCTTAAAGGAATAGTTCACCTAAAAATGAAAATTTTGTCATCATTTACTAGGGATGCACCGATACCGATACTGGTATCGGTATCGGGCCCGATACTGAGCTCCTGTACTCGTACTCGTACTCGTTAAAATGCCCCGATACCATCTGTACCCAATATTTAAAAAATTTACAAATGCAATAAAAATATCGGTATCGGTACTCGGTATCGGCAAGTACCAAAAATAGAAGTATCGGTATCGGGCGAGTACTGGAAAAAGTGGTATCGGTGCATCCCTATCATTTACTCACCCTCATGTCGATCCAATCCTGTATGAGTTTCTTTCTTATGTTGAACATAAAAGAAGATATTTTGAATAATTATGGTAATCAAACAGTTGATTGACTTCCATAGTATTTCTTTCCCTACTATGGAAGTCAATGGGGACCAACAACTGTTTGGTTCTTCAAAATATCTTCTTTTGTGTTCAACATACAGTTTTGGAACGACATGAGGGTGAGTAAATGATGACAACAATTTTCATTTTTGAGGCGAAATATTGCTTTAATTGCTTGAAAAGTGAAAATTTGGCCTGTTGGTGAGATTTAGAGAACAACACAATTTAATCTGCACTTTAGTTTCCACTGACTGCACTTTAGTTTTCCAGTTTAATTTTTAGTTAAATTCAATTCAAAGTTTAAATTCAAACTTCTTATAGACTATTGCGTAACAAAAATTACCTCACTGGACCATCTAGCATCTAAGTTGTGCGTTTTCAAATTTCTGTAATCAATATAAATATGATTGACCACATAATTGCATCCATTGTGAAAGCACAAATATGAGATTTTTTAAAAATATGTTTAAAATATGACCACTCCCCTCTCCATTTCCTTTCTTAAAGTAAAGAGTCTTTCCTAAAATGAAAATTCTGGCCCTAGAGAGTTTCTTTAAAGAGATTGTTTATTTTTTGACATATTTATCATTTATATATATTCATGATGGCATATGCACACCATTTTCATAAAAGTGAAGCAAAAACGAAGGGAAAGCTTGAGTTGGGGTTACGAGGAGTAATTCTAGCCCTCGTTATAGACTGTTTTGGCAGTGTGCTAATGATGTCTTCTCTCTCGTACTCCTTTCCACTGCACTGATGAAAAAAAACGAGAGAAACAGAGCCTGGTGTTGATCTACGCTTGACAGAGAGGAAGCTGGGGTCAAAAGAGGTCACTCAGGACATCTTGCTCACTTCCTCCCCCTTCTTTTGCTCTTTTCCTCACCCTCTTTCCTACCTCACCCTCTTTCCCCCCTCTCCCTCTCTCCCCCTGTCCCCATGCGCTGCCAGCTCATTAAGCTACAAATGGTGCATCAGCCTTGTTCTCGCCAGCGGTAACCCCAAACCTTGGATAAATTGGCAGGCTTGCTGTATTTGCTCCGAAGCCCCGGGTCCCCTTTCAGCCACGTTTGAAGCCAGCATGGCGGCACGGTTTCCCCAGGCAGGGTGGCTGGAGGCCAGGGCAAAGGGAAGAGGAGAGAAGGGGATGTGTGGTGGAGACGGGGCGAATCAAACACACATGTGTTTAGTCTCTGCGGCAGGAGTGAAATGCCATCATTATCCGGCTGCCTATCAAATAAATTGGCAATTACAGGGCGCCGGATTCCAGTAAACAGCACATTAATGCTTTTCTTTTGGTGTGTGTGTGTGTTTGCCAAGAGGGATAGGGGACGGACGCATCGTGCCCCCTGAGCATTTGCTGCCTTTGCCCACCCGTCACCATCTTGCTGATGAGAGACAAAGCTGGAGACGATAATGAGGTCAGTCCGAGCCGGGAACAAAACCAAACTAAAAGGCTTAAATATGACAGTTAATTTAACATCATCGTCACTGCAGTGTCCCTCCTATGGAGGGACCATCCTAAAGCGGCTCTTTAACTCTCATTACAGCCTGCTAATCTGATGCAGAGATGCACAGACAGACAGTAGAAAGAGACCGAGAGACTGAGAGAAAGCGATGACATTACCTGCTCTTTGGTCGCCATAGTGACAGTACTCTGGGATTTCTGGGTAACACATTTTATTGCTCATTCATCATTCAGTGCGTTCTTAAAGGAGGCAGAGCATTGAAATATTTACATTGAGTGTCAGGTGGCAGTTTGGCCTGTTTAGTGGTCTGTCATATGCGGGGGTGGGGTGTGTAGCGTATCAAGACGTGCTCTCGACACACACATACACACACATACACAAGAAATCTGCAGATTTTCAGAATTTCAGATTTGTGTTTTATTCAGAATTCAGATATAAATTCAAAATTATCATCCCAGCAGTGCTATTCAGAATAGAGCAGTCAAACCTGATTTTGAGTGTGAATAGAATCAGAAATCAGTTTCAGAATTTAGTCAGGATGCAGAACTCAGATCTCAATTCAGATTCATAATCTGAGCAGTTCTATTCATTATAGATAGATAATAGACAGACCTGATTTAGAGTCAGAAGGAACATAATCATAATTCAGTTTCAGAACTCAGTTTAGATACAGAGTTCAGATCTCAGTTCAGATTCATAATCTCAGCAGTTCTATTTATTATAGTTAGAGAATAGACAGGCCTGTTTTAGTGTCAGAAGGAACCGAATCAGAATTCTGATTCTGATTTCAATTTAGATACAGAGATCAGATCTCAATTCAGATTCATAATCTCATCAGTGCTTTTCATAATAGGTGAGGCAAACCGGATTGTAAGGGTGAATGAACAGATTCAGGGATACAGAATTTAGATATAGACTCAGATGAATAATTTTAGCAATGCTATTCATAATAGGTGAGAGAGACCCAATTTTGAGGTTGAAGAAACAGAATCAGGATTTAGAATTCACTTAGGATGCAGAATTCAGATAAAAATTCAGATTCATAATCTCAGCAGTGCTATTAATAATAGATTAGACAGATCTAATTTTAAGGTTGAAGGAACAGAAGCAGAATTCAGATTCAGAATAGTAAATTAAGTTTACAGGAATCCTCAGTACAAACATAACATTTTCATAAATGTATTATTGACAATTTTTATTACAATTTAACACAAAATCATAGAAATTGTCACATTTTCATTTTTTTTTAGATCTTAAACCTTAGAATTTTACAGAAATTGCATTTGTCTATCCACGTGAGAAACAATAATACTCACTACAAACGCATTGCAGCTAGTTTATTTATGCTTATGTTTCCAGTACTTCATCTAAATGTTCTCTAAATGCAATTTTATGAAAATCATTCTTTTTCCCGGTCTCTCGAGCATTCGCTTTGGAACTCTCTGAGTGGTTTGCGAGGATTTGTAGCCCCCTTGCCATTCTGCAGTGAACATATTTGAATCCAGCGTCGTGGTTAGTGGCTGTAGATTATTAGTTCTGCCTGTGCTGGGGGATTCTTTCGCTATGTGGTAAACCAATCTCCACCCTGTAATTACGGCCGCTGGAGCAGATTTATGTCATATAATATAGATGTTGTTCTTAATGATTACTGTTATTATTTGATTTCGCCAGGACGTGGAAAGAGTCCACAGCATTTTGCGGAGAGGTCATGTTTCTGCCGGAGCGTTTGACCTGCGGATATAGCTCTCTCGTGGCTGAAGTCAAAACAGATTA